CCCCGAACGGACTCCAGATCAGCCCTCCCGAGGAAGAACAGGGTTTGGAGGTGGCTCTGTATCATAAAACACGATGAATCCTTCTCCTTGATTTTTTTCTCCCCGAACGTGAATATATGGAGTTGGAGTTGAGGTCGGTGGAGGTCCAGGGGGGCCATGAGATAGGGGGCACGCCCCCCACTCTCGTGGTCAGGGTGTTGGCCCCCTTCGTCTAATTCTTCTGTCGGTATTTTTTATTAATATGAAAAAGTGCCTCCGCGAAGTTTTAGGTCATTCCGAGAACTTTTATTTCTGCACAATAATAACACCATGGCAATTCTACGGAAAACATCGCCAGTCCGGGTTAGTTCCATCCAAATCATGCAAATTAGAGTCCAAAACAAGGGCAATAGAGTTTGGAAAAGTAGATACATTGGAGACGTATCACTCAAATAAGAACAACACCCAAGCATAGGTCCACCCACATAGCAAATTGTCAAAGTAACGAACATGAATCAAACAAACATGATGAAAGTGACTAGATGAGATTCCCGTGTGTCCTCAAGAATGCTTTGCTGATTATAAGATATCGTTCTGGCTTGTCCTTTTCTACAAAAAGAATTTGGCTACCTTGCTGCACTTTTATTACCATTACTACTTATTGCCCGTTACCAATTATCTTTCTATCAAACTACTTGTTACCGATAATTTTAGTGCTTGCAGAAAATACCTTGCTAAAAACCGCTTGTCATTTCCTTCTGCTTCTCGTTGGGTTCGACACTCTTACTTATTGAAAGGACTACGATTAATCCCCTATACTTGTGGGTCATCAATCATCAGGAGTAATTGTGTTTTTTCTGGGGTGGACTTCATACCAGTTATTAACTGCTCATGTGTGCACCTTGTACATAGTCTTGAATGACTGGCTTCCCGCTAGCACTGTCCAAAATTAGTTGAAACTGGATACGAACGATCCCGCGGACGGTGAAATCTCCCACCTCCTTCTAAAATTACCATGACCAAGTATGTGGTATGAGAAACTCCCCTTTTGTTGTTGGTGCACGAAGAACAATACGACCCTCATTTACATAATAGGTCGGGGTTGCTTTGGTAACTTCCGGTTCCCCCCTCCACACGACACCCCATTTCCTTTCCCCTCCCGCAAAAATGACTACTCCACAGCAGCAGAGCATCTTACATCATGTCGTCCATACTTCATCGGCCATTCACTACTGCAGAATGCTGCTAACGCGGCACTACGATCAGAGACCCTTTGAGAAGCTGTGTGTGATGCAACTATCGCAAACGGTGGTGTCAGAGAACCGTCTAAAATGTGCAAAACATTTATGATGACGGATGCATCAAACACGGTTCAGATTTTAGTTGCGTGTGCGATGAAGGGCATACAGTTGATCCAGCAGAACTATTTGCGATGAGGAAGAACAACAGAAACGGGCAGCCATAACAATGTGTGTGCGATATACGGCATACAGTTCCCTCCGATAAACTGTGTGCTATTAGGGAATGCAACATAAATGAGCCAGATCAAGGTGTGTGTGATATACGGCATACGGTTCACTTGGACAAACTGTTTTCGATTAGGCAAGAGAACGGAAACGCATCTTAACAAGATGTGTATCATATGCGGCATTTGCGATCAGCCAAAAGAACACAAACAATTCGTATAAACCAGATGTGTGTGATACGCAGCAAACAGCCCACTCGGATGAACTGTTTGCGATGAGAAATCATAACATAGATAGTTACTATAGTAAGTTCATGTGCGATTTTGTTCGTACAAAGAACTTTGGAAAATGCAAACTAGTTGCTTGCGTATAAACAATTACCAAAAAGTAACAAGATAAACCTTCTTCAAGCCAATCAACATGTGTTCAAAAAACAAAATATGTCAAAAATTACAAAACAAAGACCTCGATATTAACTAGATGGGATGGGTCAGTACAAAGGTTTATAATACAAAGATTTATAATAAACCTTTGTAGTTACCCATCCAACTAGTTAATATTGAGTCCACTTCCCATCCGGTCACCATCTCATGACTACTCCAGCCTTAGCACACTTAACTTGGGAGTTCTGTTAATGAGCTATCGGTAGGGAAGCTGGTCCTTGCTGCTGTAGATCCCTCTTTGCAGCCTTTATTGCGCAACACAATGGAAACGGTTCAACTGAACAATATGTGTGTGATACGTGGAAAAACAGGTCCGTGATTAGAAATGTGTGCGAAGACAAATAATAACACAGACGAATAACATGTGTGTGTGTGTGTCTATATATATATATATATATATATGTACATCTGGGCTATTTTGTTTCGTGAAACAGAATATTATTCTGTTACCCTACTTGAACAGACGGTTTCAGGCAGTTGTACTGATAATTTTCATCTCGTCAAACTGACCGTCTTTCGTCAGAATGGAGCATGTAATATATCGTTGCAAAACTCTTGACATCTACATTACAATTATATAGGAATTTTTTGCAAAATCATCATGGTTTAAGAGCAGTTTTGAAAAAACTGTTTGTTTCAAAACCAAAAACGTGAATCGTATTTTGGACTCAATTTTCAAACGGTTTGTCGGAATTGAACAAATAAGACGACGTTGGAAAGATAGTAAAAATCCGCATCTTCCATATATCTATTGTTTTTTCAAATTATATACAATTTAAAAGTAATTTGAAAAAGGTGAAATTCTGTGCGAAACGTATTTTTGTGATTTTTGTAAACGGTTTGTCGAATTGACGCAAATGATATGGCGTTCGAAAGCTACGGAAAATGCGCAACTTTTTCATACAAAAAAGTTTTTTCTAATTCCTTACGGTTTAAAAACGAATTCAAATACGGTCAAATTTGATTTTGAAAGCGATTTTTTTAAAAGTTTATCGAAATGGGGCAAATAATATATCATTGGATAGCTATCAAAAATGCGAAACTTAGTCATGTTGACTGTTTTCTCTACTTTGCAACCGTTTAAGAGTAATTTGGAATACGACATTGACGGATCCTACTGTTTTCTCATCTGAAAAACAGAGTAGGCGTACTGATATATGTGTATGTTTGTACTAAGCTATTTTTTGTAGAGTAATTTTGAATGGTTCCGAAAAAGGGTACTTGTACTGATGTTTGCATGGGTTTGTACTAAGCGTGTTTTCACTAACTAGACTTTGCTCTGTTTTTTGGGTAATATTTTTCTCGTAAGTTTTCAACGGTTTACTGTATCCTAGCTCCGAACTTGCATGATTTTTATTGTTGAACTGAATGTTATTTTTTTGCAAAAAAATTTTTGCTTATTTCTTTTTTTAAGTCAATTTTTTTGCAACGAATGTTCTAGGTTTCTCTTGTTTTGCAACTTGAACTTTTTACCATTTTAAACTTTTACTAACTTGAATTACCGTGTGTGGATGAGCACTTGATCTTGTAGAATTTAAAATTTTCTGTTTTAGTTCTTATTTGTTTTCTTGTCTGAACTTATGGTATCATCATCACTGAACCTGCGTGGTTTCTGTAGCTGGACTAAAATCCATGTTGTTTGTGAAAACTAGGAAAATTGCATCTCCTCAATGGGCCATGATGCAAGCATCGTCGCCGGCAATACTTGGGCCACCAGAGAACCTGCACTGCTGGATTTGCCGAGAGAGAACTGAGGGCAGCACATCCCATGTCTTTTTTCTGTAGCAGCTACACTTGGTTTACCAACTCACACGCACACAAAATTGATAACAAGTTGGCACACGACCTTATAAAAAAAGCACACATGAACTGACAAACAAGAACACACCGGTGATTAACATAATATAAATCCATTGTCGTTTTTTCCATTTGTTAAGTTGCTTTTTTCCTTCAAACCTTTACTGCTATGATTTTTTTTTTCCAAATTTGTCCCCTTGAGTCAGAATTGAGGCAATTCTTAATTTTTAATTTATGGCACTACAGAAACTTAGTCATGTCGAACATTTTCTCAAATTCGCAATCGTTTAAGAGTAATTTTGAATACGGCAAGACGGATCTTACTGTTTTCCCGTCTGAAAAACAGAGTACTCGTACTGATATATGTGTGTGTTTGTACTGAGTTATTTTTTATAGAGTAATTTTGAATTGTTCTGAAAAAAGAGTACTTGTACTAATGGTTGCATGGGTTTGTACTAAGCGTGTTTTCACTAACTGGACTTTGCTCTGTTTTTGGGTAATATTTTTGCTCGTAAGTTTTCAACGATTTACTGTATCGTCGCCCCTCTACTTGCATGGTTTGTAACATCGAACTGAATGATATTTTTTTCAAAAATAAAATGTTTTTTTATTTTTTTAACTAAACATTTTTTACAATGATGTTCTGGACTTCTCTTATTTTATGACTTGTACTTTTACCATTTGAATTGCATGGGGTTTCTTTTTGCTTGAACTTTTACAATTGAATTTATGTCATTTCTTTTATTCCGAACGGACCAACGTTTTAACTTGTACTAATCAATATTTTTAATTACACCATTTTTCCTTTGTAGAACAGGCCATCATTTTTGTTCGTACGGATCAGTTGTAGAACTTGAATGTCAACGTCACATAATTACATTTTGGACGGATCACCCTCTCCCATTTGGACTGACCACAAAACTTGCATCAGGAAACTCACAAAAACAAGGACGATTACAACAAGATCGACGAGTTAACACTTTTTATAATACAAAACCAAATGGTTCACTTTTACCTCCTCTTTTTGAAGTATTACAAACTGATGAACTAAAATAAAATGGTGAGCACACTGCATTTTTGTACCACAGTTGGTAATAGGGGCACAATCCATATGAATTGTATAAAAGGTAAGTACCAGTAAAAATGAATTGCTGGTGTTTTTATAGAGTTTGTAGTACCATCACAATCAAAGTTCGTACTGACATAAGCTCTGGTCGTGCTCCGGCCAGAAAAAGATACATAAGTACACTGCGGCCAAAGTATTACAAACTGACAAACATAATCAGCCACCTCACTAGAACAGAGCATCTCAAACTTATGTTGCTTTTCCATGTGCAGGAGGCTTGTTGATGAAGCACGCAGTGACACAGGGGGCCATGGTAGCGACACGCGCAGTGACGCAAGTCTCTAAACTGATGGTCGCGACGAACTTGGCCACCCTGAAGCCACGGGGTTGGACTGAGCATGGCGCTAAAGTTGAGTAGAACATTTAAGAATTAGGATAATTAAGAAACAACAAACAGGTGAAGAAATCGTGAAGTGAAATGAGTTATACAAGACAGTATGCATTACACCTTGCTAGTTTCTCAACTGAAACTGTTTACTGCACAACTGCCATATTTGACTGAGCTACCCTGAAGTTGCTGGAATGGACAAAAGTCTTAATCAGAATCTCACCAACATTTGACACTAGAATGAATTTATGAAAACTTAGCTAGTTTGGTTAGCTGCTGACTTGAGAAGAGCCATCCTTTTTTCATCGAAGAGCTGCTATGATGTACTGAGCAATTGCTTTTTCTGACCTTAAAAAATTATGTCCAATGAATCTCTCTAATATGGATGTGTGAACCTTCCAAAATTAAATATGGATGTGTAAACATGGCATTTTGTTTTTTCCAGAAAAACAACAGGAGCGCATCCGCATAGTTATTCATCTCCATATCAATAGTACTTGGCCGCCAAAAACCCGACAAATGTTTTTTCTTGAAAACACACAAACCATTTTTGGAATGCATCAGACAAGTTGACATTTTTCAGTTTTGAGAAGCAACCAAACTTGCTAATTAATACGCATGTACTTACTGGGACCACATACATATCCTAATATTAGTAATCATGTACTTACAGCGGCCTGCACTCAGCTCCTTGAGCGACCGGCCACAAAACAAGAAGTTGTACTGTTGAGCCTCTAGCAGGCTCCACTGTTTGCTTAGCGCTCAAGCAAAAAAAATTGTAGGGTGCTCAGCGCTATATTATTCAACATGACAAAATTGAACGTTCAACATTAGATGGGGACTTGGACGGGGTGCAGTGCTCTACTCGGACGGCGCCCAATGCTCAACTTGGACAGAGGAGTGCTCCCCGAAGCTCCAGTGGTAGTTGGGGTACATCAGTAGCAGATCGGGGAGGAAGGGGGTTAGGCGAGAAGATTGAGCAGTGGTAGGGCACGAACGGAAGTGTCGGCTGTGGCCCAACCCCTGCACGTCGGCCCTCCGGCGATGGGGATAAGCGCGGTGAGGGCAGCCCTTTTCCAATAGAACTAAATCTAATAGGAAACTTGAACTTTTCCTAATGCATTGCGGCAGCGACAGAAAGCCCTGTGATTGGGTCCTCGACGAGCAAGACCAGAATCTCATCATCTTTGATATTGTAGAAGTAGCAACACATTTTGCCCGGCTTGTCGACTCCCAGCCCAATTTTCCTGAGAACCAAGATAGATAAGAGAGAAAAATTTCTATCTTACAGCTGAAAAATTAAACACATAAAAGAATCAGTTTTTTTGGCTCTCAACCTCCTGCATATATATTTGAACTGATGTTTTTCTGTCATTGAACATTACTGCCTCTCGAGTATGAACTATGCAAACTTTATTTTGGCCAAACTGTTAGAAATTTTCTATGAAGTGAAAACTACCATACAATATAAAACTGAATTATTTTTTTAACATGCACACTGCACTGTTTCAGCTTTTCTTTATGAACCGATGGTAAAATACATACAGGGCTGCTACACCAGTAGCAAATTCATGAATACATGACTTTTTTTTGGAGAGCAATCTAACAAGTGTTATAGCAAACCACGGAACAAGTACATGTTTTGAACTGCTCAAGAACACGCATCAAGCAAAAAAGTACAAACCACTTCTGATTCAGTAAAATGTGAGCTAATTTTCAATAGAGATTCACTAAAATAACTTCTAATTTTTTTAAACATCTAGCTTCTCATTATTTTCACTTTGAACTTGCTTGTTTTTTGTTTTTAGGAACACAAAATGAAGCAGTAAGCAAGAGACGGGACAAGGGTGAGTACCTGCCGGTGCCGGCGAAGAAGCGCGGTGGTCTTGCCAGCGAACATGGGGCCAATGATGACGTGAATCATGCCGAGTTGGACTGCCGAGCTGGACGTCCTGGACCCCCCACGGTTCCTCCTGCAGGTTGCACTGTTTCGCCACGGAAGCACATGCGAGGGAGTTGGAGTGGGGCACGCCCATGGCGGCGAGATTGAATGGACGGGGGTTGCGGCATTGAACTCTCTGTACGCGGCGGCAGAGCGATAGCGGCGCGTCGATCCAGTGCGGGGCCACAGTGGTGCCAAGAACTATGGAGGGGGGAGGGCGGCAGTGGAGGGAGATGGAAGCAGGGGGTGCATAGGAGAGGCAGAGCGCCTCCGGCGACATGTGGTTTGCTGGGGCAGATCCTACCGTGTATTCTTCACCTGTAGGAATGGAAGTTTAGATGGAAAGATGCTTAAGAATGATGTAAGTACATGTGAAATATATGACCAAGTACCACGTATATTAACTGGAGAAGTTCGACATGAAACTTCATCTTCAGCATACTGACTACACCACACATACATATTGCAGGGGAAAGATAGATGCACACAGGAGTTAATTGCCAAAGCATGCACTTCCAAAATGCTAATTAATCGAGATGGTTTTTTTGGTGAGCTTTCTGCACCAAATAAACATTACTGCTACAATGCACGCACAGTTACTTGATTCAACATCATGGCAAAGAACGATTAAAGTACGACAGACAGAGAGAGACGAGCCTAAGTTCAAACTACAAAGAGAAGCTGCGAGCTCTATGTTTCAGCTTGTATATGATTTCATTTTAATGCCAAATTCCTCAGTCCAACATTAAAGTAACACACAAGACCTACGAGCACAGAAGTTCATAGTACCAATTCTGCTAATTTTTGTCGACTGAAGTGCAGATGTGCACGCATACCTCGAGTGGCTTCAGAGAGTAGTCTGGGACGAGCACTATGAGGTCTCTGCGAGGTGCCCATATTGCAGATGGACTTCCCGAGGATGCGCACGCCCAGGACGAACTCGTCTCCACCCCCGCCATGGTAGCCACTCCGCTTCCCCCGCTGATGGCTAGCAGGGCCACCCCGGCGTGGAGGGCGGCCTAGTGCCCTTACTTACAGATGGAGGGGTTGGACGATGGCGGTACGGCCGTGGGATCTCAGGGGAGAAGGCGGACGGATCTCGGGGAGGAAGGTGGACGGAGCGTGGGGAGGGAGGCAAATTGATTGCAGGGAGGAAGGAGGCCGGAACGGGGGGAGGATGGCGGCCGGAGCGCGGGGAGGAAGACGACCGGAGAGCGGGAAGAAAGGCAGACAGAGCGCGGGGTAGGGAGGAGGCCGGCGCACGAGGAGGAAGGCGACCAGAGCGTAGGAAGGAAGGCGTCCTGAGCGTGGGGGGTGGAGGAGGCCGGCGCGCGAGGGAGGGCGGCTGCCGGCGCAAGGGAAGGCGGCTGCCGGTATGAGGTAAGGGCGGCACCGGTGTAGGAGGGAGGGAGGCGGCGGGGTTCGTGGGGAGTGACGGGCGTGGGCTCACGGGGATGAGGAGGTGGTGCTGGTGGCGGTGGGAGGTGGTGGTGGCGGCGAGGGCCGTCGCGGCGGTGCGCTTGAGGCGAGGCCGACCGGAGGCGCGTTGGGAGGAGGTCGGTTGGCGGCACGCTGGGAGGGAGTCCGGCCGGCGGCGCGCTGGGGAGGAGGCCGGCGCTGGGGAGGAAGGAGGCCGGCGCTGGGGAGGGAGGCGGCCGGAGCTGGGGAGGGAGGCGGCCTGAGCGGGGGAAGGAGGCCGACGGAGTTGCGGGGGACGGCGCCCGGCGGTGGAAGGTGGAGAAGAATCGGGAGGCTGCGGGGTGGGAATGGATAAGAGGTTTTCTTTTTGGGTTGGTTTTCTGGTTTCTGCTCGAGGGCGCTGTATATAGGGACGGGAGTAACAGAATATTATTCTGTTACAAGTAAAAAAATAGCTCTGTCCTATATATAACCGAAATAATTGCATGCATTTTAAAGTAGGAGAAATGATCGTCTAGTCATCTACTTCTTGTGATGCTCCCGCCACTGCTCTGTGGCTCGATCCCTCGACTGGGTCATGAACAAGACACTTCCTCATGTCAACGATCCGCCTGTACATCTCGTAGCTTGTGTACGCGTCATTGGCCGCGTACTTGACGTGTTCTTCATACAGTCTCTTATGCCAAACACTGTATGATACGTCTCCAACGTATCTATAATTTTTGATTGCTCCATACTACTTTATCTACTGTTTTGGACTATATTGGGCTTTATTTTCCACTTTTATATTATTTTTAGGACTGACCTATTAACCGGAGGCCCAACTCAGAATTGCTGTTTTTTGCCTATTTCAGTATTTTGGAGAAACAGAATATCAAACGGAGTCCAAACGGAATAAAACCTTCAGGAACGTGATTTTCTCAACGAACGTGATCCAGGAGACTTGGACCCTACTCCAAGAAGTGCCAGAGGCGGTCACGAGGGTGGAGGGCACCCCCCTGGGCGCGCCCCCCTGCCTCGTGGGCCCCCTGTTGCTCCATCGACGTACTCCTTCCTCCTATATATACCTACGTACCCCCGTCAGATCAAAAACGGAGCCAAAAACCTAATTCCACCGCCGCAACTTTCTGTATCCGTGAGATCCCATCTTGGGGCCTGTTCCGGAGCTCCGTCGGAGAGGGCATCTACCACGGAGGGCTTCTACATCAACACCATAGCCTCTCCGATGAAGTGTGAGTAGTTTACTTCAGACCTTCGGGTACATACCTAGTAGCTAGATGGCTTCTTCTCTCTTTTTGGATCTCAATACAATGTTCTCCCCCTCTCTTGTGGAGATCTATTCGATGTAATCTTCTTTTTGCGGTGTGTTTGTTGAGACCGATGAATTGTGGGTTTATGATCTAGCTTATTTATGAATAATATTTGATTCTTCTCTGAATTATTTTATATATGATTGAGTTATCTTTCCAAGTCTCTTCGAATTATCCGTTTGGTTTGGCCAACTAGATTGGTAGTTCTTGCAATGGGATAAGTGTTTAGCTTTGGGTTCAATCTTGCGGTGTCCTTACCCAGTGACAGAAAGGGTTGCAAGGCACGTATTGTATTGTTGCCATCGAGGATAACAAGATGGGGTTTTTATCATATTGCATGAATTTATCCCTCTACATCATGTCAGCTTGCTTAAGGCGTTACTCTGTTTTTAACTTAATACTCTAGATGCATGCTGGATAGCGGTCGATGAGTGGAGTAATAGTAGTAGATGCAGAATCGTTTCGATCTACTTGTCTCGGACGTGATGCCTATATACATGATCATACCTAGATAATCTCATAATTATTCGCTTTTCTATCAATTGCTCAACAGTAATTTGTTAACCCACCGTAGAATACTTATGTTCTTGAGAGACCACTAGTGAAACCTATGGCCCGCGGGTCTATTCTCATCATATCAATCTTCATTACTTTATTACTTGCTTTGTTTTTTACTTTGCCTTTTACTTTTTACTTTGCATCTCTATATCAAAAATACCAAAAATATTATTTATCATCTCTATCAGATCTCACCCTCGTAAGTGACCGTGAAGGGATTGACAACCCCTAATCGCGTTGGTTTCGAGTAGCTATCGTTTTGTGTAGGTACGAGGGACTCGTGCGTGATCTCCTACTGGATTGATACCTTGGTTCTCAAAAACTGAGGGAAATACTTACGCTACTTTACTGCATCATCCTCTCCTCTTCGGGGAAATCCAACGCAGTGCTCAAGAGGTAGCAAGAAGAATTTCTGGCGCCGTTGCCGGGGAGTTTGCGCAAAAGTCAACCATACCAAGTACCCATCACAATCCCTATCTCTCGCATTACATTATTTGCCTCTCGTTTTCCTCTCCCCACTTCACCCTTGCCGTTTTATTCGCCCTCTCGTTTTCGTTCGCCTTCTTCCCGTATGTATCTTTGTTTGTGTTTCCTTGTGCCTTCTATATGCTTGCATCTTTGCTTGCTAAAAATCTATTGATATGGATCCACTTAAAGTGTTCTACTTGGATCATCTTCGATCCTTATGCACTCGTGCTGAAACCCCAACTAGCCTAGTTGATGGGAAATCTTTAGATGAGCATGCTCATTTTGTGCGTCATCGTTTATCTGAAAAAGGGAGACTCTTACGGTATCATATAAATAGTTTGCTATGCTATGCTTGGAATCTTTGTGAAATGTGTGATTTTACTTGTTGCTCTAAGAACCCTAAAAAACACCTTCCCTACCTATGTGAGTTCAATAATAATGAAATCTTATCTTCTTATGAAAAGGGTGTTTATAGTTACTATGATATCGAACAAATTGAAGAATTTGTCGTTTTTAAGGGTGCTCATGAAGTTGCTTCTTTGATTGAAAAGTATGATTTTACTCTCAACAAATCTGAAAATTCCGTCATACTTAAATATTGCAATGAAAACCTTGCTCATAATGTCTATGTCCAAGAATTTATTGAAAGAATGACCGTTGCTTTTGAAGAAAATAATGATATGCATGAATCTATAGATAATGATGATTTCGATGATTTGATTGAAATATCCCTTGGTGAACATGATGCTTGTTATTCTTGTGGCCATGAAGCCAATATTTATGAATAAGAATTTGCTATAGTTCCTTATGTTAAAAATGAGATCGTTGCTATTGCACCCATGCTTGATAGCCCCCTCAACGAAAAGCATGATTTAAATGATTTTACTATAAATTCTCTTGATGTCAATTGTGCTAATAATATGCAAAACCCTAAGCTTGGGGATGCTAGTTTTGCTATGTCTACTACTTGTTGCAATGATCATGATTGGGGTGATTCTTTTTATGATCTTGAAAATCATCCCCATGATGAATATGAGATTGATAATATTGTTTGCAATAATATTGAAAGTGGGTTTGGAGAGGTCATGACTTTAGTTAATGATAATCCCACTATTTCAGAAGAGTGTCAACTTTGCATGCATGTGGATCGTGTTGAAAATATTTTATGTGATAGCTATTTTGTTGAATTTTCTTATTATCCCACATGTAATTATTATGAGAGAGGAAAATATGGTCGTAAAAATTTTCATGATAATAAATTACCTCTCGTTATGTTGAGATTGCTATTGTTTCTTTCCGCCTCCTTGCATATGCTAGTTTTTGCTTGCCTTGATAATTTGTTTGCCTATAAGATGCCTATTCATAGGAAGTATGTTAGACTTAGATGTGTTTATCACGTGTTTTATGATGCTCTTTTTGTGCTTCAATTCTTGTCTTTCTTGTGAGCATCATTGAAATATCAATGCCTAGCTAGGAGCGTTAAACGATAGCGCTTGTTGGGAGGCAACCCAATTTTATTTTGTGTTTTTTGTTTTTGCTTCTGTTTAGGAATAAATAATCCATATACTTTATTTTTAGATGAGGTTTTATGTTTTAATTAGTGTTTGTGCCAAGTAGAACCTATAGGATAAGCTATGATGATAGTTGATTTGATTCTGCTGAAAAACAGAAACTTTGCGCTCACGAGAAAAACTTCAATAAATCACAGAAACGTGCTTTTGCATTGATTCTTTTTGCTGCTTATCAATAAACAAAATTTCCAGTACTTCCTATTTTGGTAGAATTTTTAGAGTTCCAGAAGTTTGCGTTAGTTACAGATTGCTACAGACTGTTCTGTTTTTGACAGATTCTGTTTTTCGTGTGTTGTTTGCTTATTTCAATGCATCTATGGATAATAAATTAGTTTATAAACCATAAGGAAGTTGGAATACAGTAGGTTTAACACCAATATAAATAAATAATGAGTTAATTACAGTACCTTAAAGTAGTCTTTTGTTTTCTTTCAATAACGGAGCTCACGAGATTTCTATTGAGTTTTGTGTTGTGAAGTTTTCAAGTTTTGGGTGAATTCTTTTGATGGATTATGGAACAAAGAGTGGCAAGAGCCTAAGCTTGGGGATGCCCATGGCACCCCCAAGATAA